GTAAAATCAATACATTCATCGCTCCGCTCAGAATCTAAAATAATAATTTAAAACTACCACTAGAATGTTACTGGGGATTTTTATCCAAATTATCGCAGAGTCTAATATCAGCATTTCCGGTAAAATTACGTTGGATGCACTGTATTTTTATTTTTATTTATCCATAATATTCTTTCCGTATTCCGTTCTACCGTTCTACTAATCTACTATACATTCATTATTCATTATTCATTACATTCTCGACTGAGTCGTCTGCATTTTCTCCCGTTGATTCACGGCTTCACGCATCACACCAATACAAGATGCCTATGATAAAGCTGCAGAGTTCGGATGGCGAAGTGTTTCAAGTAGACTTCGAGATCGCCAAAGCTTCGGTGACTATAAAAACTATGGTGGAAGATTTGGGCTTGGAAGAGGAAGATGAGGAGATCGTCCCGTTGCCAAATGTAAATGCCGGTATATTGAAAAAAGTCATCCAGTGGGCAACCTACCACAAAGACGACCCACCACCAGCCGAAGATGACGAAGGGCGTGAAAAGCGCACTGACGATATATCCAGCTGGGATGCGGATTTCTTGAAGGTAGATCAGGGTACTCTGTTTGAACTCATACTGGCCGCCAACTATTTAGATATCAAAGGCTTGTTAGATGTCACTTGCAAGACGGTCGCCAATATGATTAAGGGCAAAACACCGGAGGAAATAAGGAAAACTTTCAACATCAAAAATGATTTCACTGCTGCAGAGGAGGACCAAGTACGTAAAGAGAATGAATGGTGCGAGGAGAAGTAATTGATTTTTGTCTACAGATGTATGTACTTTTTTTTTTGTCAACAGCATAATTTTAATTTTTCATTCAATAATAAACCTGTTTTGTATTTATTTACTTTTTGTAATAGGAATTTTGTTTTAGTCGAGGTTTTAGTTTGTATCTTAATATAAGGACAATTTGGATTAAAACATTTGTACATTTTATCTGCTTCATTGTACTTGGCCTTATTACAATAAGTTGATTAACCTACACATTTCACGTTATTGATTTGTATAAGTATTGRTTAATTTATTACTAAATTGCCTAAACTTTAACTGTAAGTTCCAATACAATTTTGTGTATATTTTACTAAAAATGTATATTAATTTCTTGATAATATTCAATTGATATATCTAATACAGTTTTTTTATTTTATTCACATTTAAATCCCTCTTTTTAAAGTATAATTTCTCGTTGCTTAGAACTTTTGACTAAAAAATTGAAACATTCTGTGATAGACCTTTTTTTATAAATCGCCAATTGATGTCAGTTTTTTTCYATTAACTTAGAGTTAATAGAATTAGTAATATTAAAAATGTACAAAAAAACTAATAAAATAACATATTATGTCTTCTATCTTGGTGATTAGATTAATGTTTTTTTATTTGATCAGCAGTACAACCTAAGGTTATCCGTACAACTGTTATGACCTTATTTCAAATACTTTATACTATATTTCATTCATATTCATTTATTTTAAAATTAATATTAAGAGGAAACATCTGAATTTTATTCCTATAGGACTAAGAGGATATAGGTAAGTGTTGTAGGGTGGGTTTTTTGATATATTATTTATAAATATTGTATCAACTTAGAAATCGTTTGCTATAATGTTTTTAAAGAGGATGTGATACCCACATGTGTTGTCTCCGTCTTACAAGTGCATTATATTGTAAATTTTACGTTCAGCAGAACACGTGTAGCTCGGTTTGCTTGAAAATTTCAGTGAATTGACCTCTTATATAATTTAAAAGTATGATTGTCATCCAGACAACCACATACAATTTTTATTATATTTAAATTTTAAAGGAAGTTATGAGTATTTTAAGATGCACAAAAAATTTCCAATTTTAAAATACTCATAACTGGCTTTAAAATTTATAAGAGGTCAGTTGATTCCAATTTTTAAGCTAACGGAGCTACATGTGTTCTGCTGAGCAATAAATGTACTATGTTACACACTTGTAAGACGGAGACAACACATGCGGGTATCACATCCTCTTAAGTTCTAGAACAGTTTTTGTATTATAGCGATTCAATTGCCATTGTTGGCATTTGATTAATTTTTAATTAATTAAGGTGGTGTTATATTTAAGATTCAACCATTATAATTAAATAATAATTATAACTCGGATTAATATACATAATTATTAATTAACCTTTATTATAAAAATACAAATAGTTGGGGTCTTTTACAAAGTTCATACTCGGTTTGTAACTGCCATGCCTCCTGATCACTATGATGTGTCAGTGTATATAAACCTCAATGTAAATACAAWGTGACCAACATTACTTAACATAAAACATTACAGGTGGTATCTAAAAAAATTAAAAATACATTTGTGATCTAGGATGATTTACCAAGTAAACTCATCCTCCYGTTTATATTTAATAATGATTATTAAGAGCCTTATGTTTGTAATTTTTAAATATACTTGACCATACTTACAAATCCTTGAAGCTTTTGTGCTACTTAGAATCGTCTTATGGAAATACAAACTTTTGTATTTCAAATGCTAACATCCCTTTACATTTGAAAGTTATACAAATTTGACGTATCAAAGTTAATATTCAATTTTTTAAGTTTTGTCTTCTAAAAATAAAAGGTAATGGATAATATATAAGATATGGAGGCTATGGTGATTTGAAAATGTTATTCAAACATTTAAATCTATTTATATTAATAACTAGTAATGGCCAAAATATAATAAATACTAAATACCTACTTTTAAATCGATTTTCTTTAAACATTTTAATAACTAAGAAATTCTTTATTCAAATTTTAAACTAGGTACCTACATCAAAATGTTCAAAAAAATTATTTACTAAATAATTTACAGTAAATTGAAAAGCAGAAGTTTGTAATACCAAAAGACAAAATTTTGAGAAATTGAAGGGAAAAAAGTGGTTGAGCATGGTTGTATGTATTGAAAAATTTAGTWCGAAAGAATCAAATTTGTCGAATATCTGAAATTAAAAATAACTATTACTTCAATTTAAAATTAAATTAAATTAATGGTTAGCAATAATCCAGGATTATATATATATATTTTTAATTACCTATTACTTTAGTTATAAGATCATGTTTAAATTTAAAAAAAAGTAATGGTTATAAACAACAATTGTTAAAATAGATATTACTTTCCATTTGTGTATCAGGATGATCTAAAAAAAACTTTGGTAGACAAGAAGTATTGTTTTTCTTCAACTCAGTCATATATTGAAATATACTGGCAAGAGGATTCTATTAGTAATGTTCAATTAATTTTGAGCATGTTTGCATTTTTACTCATACAATACATCTATAAATACCAATGTTAGTTATTGGAATAGTTCCAAATACTGTAAAATTTCGGAAATACCTGTGAAAGTTTAAAACATTTCCAAAAACGAGCAAATATTTGGAACAATTCCAAGCAACAATCGAATAAAATACATCACTTGCATAAGACAAACATACCAAAGGATCAAAGGTTTACGCCGATAAAAGTTCCCTGAAATACATTTTACGTGTGTACATTTAATGGGATTTATTGCATTACACTTTGATACATTTTTTTTTTTAAATTTTATTTTAACTAAACAATAATTTTACATAACTGAATAATCGAGTCATATATTTTTTTTAAATGCTAATCTATATTTTCATACAATCTTAATAACCTGATATTAAAGCAATCACGCCTAATAAATCATATGTAACATAATATTAGATATATATTGTATCTAAATATTACAATATTCATTAAATTGAAATGTGTATACACGATGTTAATTGTGTAATTTATTACAATGGGATTGAAATACTAATTAAAACAAAACAAATTGTAATGATCAGTTTTATAGACTAGGTTAAATTAATAAATAATATATATCATAACAAAATAATAATAAATAAATATAAATAATT